TTGTTAGAAATATTTTATTGGACAACATATGTAAATTAAATGTGTATAGTTGTCATAATATTATTCAATTAAAGTGATCTACTAATTTGTAATTTTGAATGAAGAGAGTATCAAATTATTATGGATTTAAAAGTGTAGATACCATTATGTGATTTTCTGTTTGTTGAGGGACCGAACTGAAAATCAATATTTCTTATTTATTTGGTTATGGCCCCAAACGATGAAAAGATACGAGCAGATTTATGAAGGGGTGCTTTCTCCCTTTAAAAGCACTCACTTTCTCACTTCAGAATGATGGAATATACAAAAGATATATACCAATACAAACACTATGGATAAAAATTTGCTATAAGGTCTCGATCGTTTGGAAGACCATACCAGTCCAATAAGATCGTTTGGAAGTAGATATCCACATGGAACTGAAGAACAAAGAACAGATGAATTTTCAATTCAATGAAGTTAGGTACGCTTCCGCTTTTATTCGGTTTGATTTTCAATTATTCGATATGAATGCTCCTGGGATAAAGCGATGTTTTTATTCGCATAAGGTTAAAATTATCAACAAGCACACAATTCTTCCTGCTACTGAATTGATTTCAACTTATTAAAAACACTTGGCAAGGAAAAGGAATTTTGACATTGATAAAGCATCGTGGAATATGATGCTGAATATATACAAGTCAGACCAAGTCTTTGTTATCGAGTGCAATTAATATTCAGTGAACATAATTTTTACATCATTTTTTAGAGTTGTTTTACAGTACTGAGAAAGTAATTCCTCAAGAAGCCAGCAATAACATAATTACTCTACAGACTCACAGAAAAGTAACAAACAATACGTATTTAGAGCAATTATTTTGAGAATGATGAGAGCTCAATCACACAAATCCTATGTATTAGCTACCAGCAACTGATAACAAGTCACATATGTCACAAGTCAAGTCTGACAATGCAGCTAGTCTATTGTTGGTTGAAAACCATTTCCAAATTCCCTGGCTTCAAGGCTTCGAGCCTTTACCGAGGGTAAAACGGTAAAAGAAAAGCTGAATTCAAGGATAACATAATAGATATTCACAACGCTACAAACATTCATATTTATATAAACCTGATCATGATGAACAGAAACGGTAAAAATAGGTAGACATGGACAACTACAACTAAACCTTAAAGTTGACAACTTGGTCAGTCAATCAGCATATCATCCGATGTAGCAGGGAGTGGTTTGAACCTCCACTCGTGAACGACTGGAACTTTACCAATAGGGCAATAGACCGCGGCTTGAACAGTTTGCACAGGGCCAACATCCTTCACGGTCAAAGTCAAGAACATCAACAAGATCCTGGTTAAGACAGCCTTCTCGATTTTCACAAGCTTATAATGGTCACCCTGCTGCATCCATCCAGTTGTAATTTGGATTTTTAGTCTTAATAGACAATGAAACAACCAAGCTTTGAACATTAAAAAATAAAAAAATAAAAAATTAAGCAAGTCGACATAAGAAATATCGTAAATAAGGCTCGAATGATGTTCATGATTTGAAAAAATAAAAATTTAAGGACAGATGAGCCTAGTTACACAGACACACAGTCTCTTCAATGATTTTCTGAATTGCAGACTCAGCTGCTTCGACAATGTTAGCATAGCAGCGTTGATCAATATCACGTTTACTCTGGCGCAGCTCTTCCAATTGAAGTGGCATGAATGGAGATTCAAGCCTAAGAGGCGGGTAGCAATCCACGTCATAACCCTACAAAAATCAGAAGATGCTCATCAACCATTTCAATCAAACAATAGAGCCCTGCGATATTTTTTATGATTGTTAACAACTAAAAATACACTAGAATTAACAATCAATCGCAAAACCAGGCAGTGCTAATCATAAATATGTCTTTTGGTGAAAATCAAAGAAATGATATTACAAGCAGGGGAGAGTGATAAATCATAATCAAAAGCAAAATACTGCTATGGTTAAAAATCCTTTTAAATCAACTCTCGAATTCTGCATCAGCTAAGCTAATACACACACATCCATGTACAACATAGCAAACAAAGCATAATCCTGATTTGAGAAAACAAACAACAAAACAAAACAAGACAAACCAATATAAAAAAAATATAATTAAACAAAATTAACAAGTATAGAGACCAANAGGAGAAAAAAAACAGGACCAATTAGGCGAGCAAAACCCTAATTATGAACAATCGGATTTCAACAAAAAAACGACCACCGGGTAGGGAAAAAAAACGAGATGAAGAATTTTAGGGATAGATACCCTGGATTCGCGGACTTGTTTGAGGAATCTCTTGACCAGCTCGATGGTATTGGGACGAATCTCCTCGCCGGGCAGGTAGAAATAGTATTCACTGACGTCATAATCGTTCTCTTCGAAGAAAAACTTGCGCTTGTACGGTACAAACAATCCCCACCTGTCATCGTCGAGAGTCGGGTCCGTCACCATCGTCATTGTTACCCGGTTGTGTTTGGCTCTACGTCTCTCCTAATTCACTTTTCTAATGTTGTTTGCGATGTAGAGTCTAATGAATCCCCTATTTATAATTTCACAATTATCTTTTCCTTCTTTTTTTGCACGTTTATTTACATTTATTTTTCTTATACTACCATATATTATATTTTCTATTTTTATTTAACTATTACGAATTTTGTGGGATGCATCATGCATGATTAAGAGATATTCATTAATACTAATGTGTATGTCGTGCGATGCACGACTTATTCGTTAAATTTTTTTTAAAAAAATTTATTTAAATATAATTATTTATATTTAAACTTCTCATTATTAATTTCCTAATATGTATTTTCATAATTAATTACTATGCAATTAAAATAACTAATTAATTGACATAAATTAATTTCTATGAAAAATAAGTAACTAATTAATTATTATGCATATTAGACAGGACATCCCATAAATAAATATTATGCATGTCAAATAAATAATGTACAAATCTCATAAATAAATATGATGCATATTAAATAATTAGTAACAATAAACATGAAAATAAATAATTCAGCTATTGTGGACATTAATAACAATCCAAGAAAGATTTTAAAACATAAAATACATTCCATATTGGAACTGACTTTTCTATCAGTCGAGAGGACTTCTTGACTGTCACATGTCACACGTGCGTAAATCTCCTGGCAAAACAATAAAACAAACATAACTTCCTTCCCAAAAATCTCGTCCGTAACTAATCAATCTCGTCTAGAATAAAGTCTAGCATAAGAACGTGCAACCGGAGAAATTGCATGTGCTTGATTTAATTAGGAAGTAAATCTATCTCATTAACAACCAAAACAAAGAGATTTCATTACCTATGATTGATCTAATTAATTGAATTTGAAACTTAAATATATCAGCCAAATGCAAGATTTTTCAAATTTTCTTAAAAAAATATTTTCAAAGAAAATTAAGAAGGATTCACATAACAACATAGATGTAAATGACTTTGAATAATAATATGAAATATTAGATATTTTTTTTAAAGCATGATAAGTAATCATAAAGGTTTTAGTTAAAAAGTATATATTTTATTGTCTAATTTATTGAGCACGAAATAAAAATGTGAAGGATTGACATATTATTTTTATTGTAATTACTTATACATAGTTAAAAAAGTTTTAGAATTGTTTAAAAACTTAACTACCTAATGCAATCTTTGATTTCAAATAAATATTATAATCATATAATTTATTTGCTATGTTTATGTTTGTAATTATCCTGTAAATCTAAATTCTTTCTAATTAACCATAATTTTCGGGCATTCTCAGAAATTTTGAGATTATTTAATTAAAGAGTACTTTGAATTTTTCTTTTTCAGTTTAGTAAAGTGATTCCAAATTTTTGGAAAGATTGATAAACATTTTAAGTTTTATATAATAAATGTTAAAATCGAAAAAGAAAAAATATTTCCAACATTTAAGAAATTAAAATTTAAAAGTAAAAAAAAAAAGGAAAAAGACGTAATTTTGGAAAAGGAAAAAAAGAATATAGGAAGGNTTCCATAAGTAATAAAAACTGAAAAATTGAGCGGGAATTGGTCATGCTATTTTTATATTTTTTTTCTTATTATTATTATATAGTAATAGATTTGTAAATTAAAAATACTCATTAAATATTATAGATAAATTAAAAATACGAAACCAATAGGTAATAATTTACCTATATTAATTTATTTAAAATGTTATATGAAATTTAAATTGTGCAAAATTATATAAAATATGTCTAGTTAAAATTAGTACAGAACCCTTACGGTGCACATAACTGATAAGTGTCATTTTAAATTTTTTATTCAAAAATTCAATTTGAATACAATGTGGTTCCATAAAATAATTATTTTGATAAAATTTTATCATATATTTAATAATCTATGTTAATAATAAGTATAATATTAAAATTTATATTGTTTCATTAATTAGAGTAAATTTATTTGTATAAACTATCTGATATGAGATATCATACGTAAGGAAATAAACCGACGACTAGACCAAGAATGTCGTCTGGTCGATTAGGACCGCAACAGGGTTGGTGTCAAATGCAAATCTTTTATTCAAATGTAACTGTGCAAATGCAACGAGTCGAATACTAGATTTGTTAAAAAATTGTACGAAACTAAAAAGAAAAACTATTTTTTCTTTAATTCAAATGTAAATCTTTTATTCAACGCCGTAATTTCTCTTACTATGTGGTAATAGTTTTTTTTTGTTGTTTTTGGTTCCAATTCATATTTCCTCTTTTTTCTTTTATCTCTCATCAGGTTTTATCACAACAACCATTGTAATATAAATAGTTTTATCCCGTGCATTTGTGCATTTGCACGGAAAGCTATTAAGAAAAAAAATATTAAACATTATTTAACCCTTCTTTTTTTTTGCATTTATTATTAAACCCTTCTTTATATATAACAGTCGTGGTTTTCCTATAATCATAATATCCATCACCACAAATCATTATTTTTAAATCCCTCTGACTCGTAACTCTGGAAAGCACCACGTACAATTTCGCTCTCTTCCAAATGTAGTTCTTCGAATTTGTTTATCAAGCTTGATGGAGCCGTTCCATCAAAATGTGCACCTAATAAAAAATAAAAATATAAACCAGATTATAAAATAATGCTTAATTAAAATATAAGATATATAATTCATTATGTAAAAAGAGATTACCTTAAAGTCATGAAAAAACAAAATAAATAATGCAGATTATAGGTATGTGGTGACGTTGGAAAATAATTATTGCAAAATATTTTTGATTAATACAAATAATTAAGAATATTGATATTGCATAATGTAGGGAAATAACAATCTGTATATTTGAACAGTTTCGTGTACTTATCCAAATTATATGAAAAAATCTATACATGTAAAAGAAGATATCTTTTTAAAATTTTAAATCGTTGAATTGAGTGATATGTGCGTTTGGGATTAAATATTGAAAAATATTTTCAATTAATTCAAAAATTTAGGAATAAGGATGTGGGGGAATTAACCGTTTGTATATTGAAATAGTTTTGTGTAGTTATCCAAATTTTATGAAAGAATATAACATTTTAGGAATATGGATGTGGGGGAATTAAAAAATATATATCCTATTTTACACACACACACATATATATATATATATATATATATATAGGATATTTTTAAAAAATTTAAATCAACGAATTAATGGATGTGAGCTGATGAAGTGAACTAATTGATGCAAAATATTTTTAATTAGTAAAGATAATTCAGAATTTATACATGGGCTAAACATTGGGAAAATGGATATAGATGTGAGATTATTGCATGCTTCTTCGAAGGTTAATTTTTTATTTTTTCATATTATTATATTTGTCTTCCATTTTTATTTTCAGAAAATTAAATTGAATAATTATTTACGAATATATTGCAGGACCAATTTGCAGGAGCAATGAAGAGTTGTATGTCACACGGGATTTAATTTTAATAATATTTAATTTATTTTTGTAATATCTAAAATAATATTTTTTTATTATTGTATAACTACAATAGAAAATAGATATAATATTAGTCATTTTTAATTAAGTGAGAATTCAATTTGGACGTATCTATATAATATCAAAATAAAAACAAAAATCTCTTGTTATTCAAGATATAAAACCGTTACAGAATTGAGATCTATCCTAAATAGGACCTGTCAATATCAGGTGTAACTGATTTTTTTTTTCAACATTACAGAAATAATAATAATAATAATAATAATAATAATAACTTTTGAAGTTAAATGGATGCCTATTTTATTAAATGCTAAATATATTTATATTAAATGCACTTATATTTTTATTAAATGTTGGCTGCAATAAAATTTATTGCTTTGCTTTTGGAGTTAAATAAATGCCTATTTTTATTAAATGTTGAACATATTTTTATTAAATGAACTTATATTTTTATTAATTGCTGCTGGAATAAAATTAAATGAAGTTTGCACACCACCTTGAATGATTTCTTATTCGAATATGTTGTCTTAACCTCCCTCAACCTACTAACGTTCCAACTTATGATACCCATCTGTGCTTCTTCCTTGGACCGGAAAACAGTACCCAAACAGATAGTCTCAATATTTCATTCCAACGTAGCAGAGCATGCTCATCCCGGTCTATACAAGATGGGTCCCACTCACCCATATCGCGATACACGTGCTGACCGCTACTAGGAAATGGGTGTTCTTCAATAAATTCTGGTTCACTCTCCTCGTTTATTGATCTATCCGATTCTATTTCCGAGGTATCATCTGTGAAATTGTTTTCACCATGAATGAAATCATTATCACTTTCTTCCTCATTATTGAATTCTCTAACTATTGAGCTTGTCCCTTCGCCAAAATTACGAACATGCAAAGTGGACGTACTCTTAACATCAGCCACTCCCCCGTAAAAAGGGGCAACATCCTCAAACTGCGTAACCTCTGTAGGTGCCTGCGTAACCTGCTTCAACTCTAAATGCAAATACACAGAGGAGAAAGGATGGAAATAATATATCCACTGAAGAGCACTATCAGTATTCAGGTTTCCAATATTCCACGAACCATCGGGTTGGTTAGTCAATAAACTAATCTCCTCAATTATCCAACCATCTCGACGAAACCCAAAATTTTCATAAAGAATATCTACCAATTGTTTAAATGATATCTTCTCCCCAATGCTAAATGAACCATCCGAAGAGTTTTTAAAATCCGAAATATAATATAACAACTCCATAGGATAATTCCAATAAACATTAACAAAGTATGGTCCAGTAGACGCCATTTATACCTGTTGCAAAAAACACTTTCAATTCTTCCCAATTACAACAACACATACTTTCTAACCCAACACCCAAAAAATTCAATTATTATTTTAATCATTCCCACAACCAAATAATAAAATTCATTTTTTTTTACTAAAATTAAATTTTCAATTAATACTATAACATTAAAAATAAAATCACAAATTCTTTTATCAAATAATCCTCACAAACCCTAATACTCATAATCCATCAATAACATATAATACACTTTCAATTCTTCCCAATTACAACAACACATAATTTCCCAAAAAATTCAATTATTCTTTATCATCCCCAATAAAAAATAAAAATTAAAAATTCAATGATTTTTTTACTCAAATTAAGATAAATATTTCCAATTGATACTACAATAACAAAAAAAATCACCAATTCTTTTATAAAATAACTCTCCAAAACCCTAATTCTCATAATCCAACCATACAATACAAATCATCCAATTTTCGAAAAAATTCTCAACATACACCGGAACCCATCATCCAAGAACAATGTATAATCATTTAACACAACTTTTAAATCAACAATAAATCTTTTCTAAACTANTGAAATTTGAAAAGGAAATAAGTATGAATTCTTTCATATCAGATCAAATAATGATTGTTACATAATGTGATTGATGGGGAAGAGGTGATAAAAACATTACACAATTGAGATGAGTAAATAAAAAAAAAAAAAATTAAATGTTTTGTAACTGATTTTAAAGGGAAAATGAAATAATTATGTTGCTTCTCTAATAAAATTGAATGTTGAAAATTTTGGAGGGATAATAAAATTTAATGCAGGAAACTAATAAAATTGAATGTTGAAAGTTTTGGAAGGATAATAAAATTTAATGCATGATAATATAATTTAATTCTTTGTTGGTCCTATTTATATATATATATATATATATAGAAATAGAATTTGCTCTTATGGTTTTATCCAACAATTAAGATTGCAACTTTCCGTCATCACCACCATTTTTTTAAAAATTCCTTCCTGTGGGTCGCATCCTCGCTCAATCAGTTTCTCACCAAAACACTCCTTTTTCTATCCCAGTTGAAAACAAGACAGCAGTAAGGAGAATTTGTTCATCCTCAATAGCAGCATCGAACATGGCTAAAGCTATAAGGGTCCATGAACTCTGTGGCCCTGAGGTTTCATCTTTTTTCTGTTTTTTTTCCTTTTTTATTTGCGTGTGTAGATTATTCTTGCGTATGGCATTAGTTACTGTAAATGTTTCAGAATCCTGTGTTGTAATGTTAGTAACTGGAGATTTTGTCATTTATGATTTTGATTGAAAAAAAATAATTTATTAGTGTTTGGACTTTTTGATGACAACCGTTTATAGCTTGAGCTTGTGTTACGGTTTTCTCGGATTCTATTGTGTTGCCATCTCCCGATGTACTGAGATTAATTTAGATTTTATTGCAAGTTCTGTACCCTGATTGTGGAGGGTTGACAGTTTTAGTTAATGTCTTCTGGTAGGAATTTCAATTCTTAATTTCCATGTTTTAGTAACTGGAGATTTTGTCATTTGTGATTTTGGATGGAGAAAACAATTTTGTTCACTATGAGCTAGCTGTACAGGAGTGATTTAATTTTTCATTTCCCAGTGAACGCATTTCATCACCCACTGCTTTTTACAGTGATGGTTATACATCAGATTGGAAGTCCTGATTTTCCTTACTTACTGCTGGGTGCATTTGAATATAGGTCCTGAAATGGGAGGATGTGGAAATTGAGGAGCCTAAGGATGGGGAGATCAGAGTGAAGAATAAAGCCAACGGCTTGAATTTCATCGATGTTTATTTCCAGAAAGGGGTTTACAAGGCTTCAACATTACCCTTCACTCCTGGTCCCTATTCTTTCTTAGTTTCTTATATACAATAATAATTAATAATAATAATAATACTAATAATAATAATAATAATAATTATTATTATTATTATTATTATTATTATTATAATGATGCAGAATAATAATAATGATTATTATCATTATTATTATTATTATTATTATTATTATTATTATTATTATTATTAGTTAGCTTGGAGAATAAGCTAGAGTTCAGTTTGAGAATTTTATTTAAAAAGCTCTCCTGCTTGGTTATTAGGGGAGTTGATTTTTTAATGAAATAAGATTGATCAGTTTTATCGAGAAAGTATCTTGTTTATCTTTCTCATTCGTACGGTTCCCTACCTCATGATCGATGATTAGGATTTTTATTATTGGAAAAACGTGTGGTTTGTTAAGTAAGTTGTAAGATAAATAAGGGGATTGAATTCTTAAAAGATCCTCGAGATTTTAGAATTTATTGATTATACATGTAATAAGAATTTCTTTAATCTGAAAATCTATAATTTAAAATAAATATATATATATATTTTTAAATTGTTTAAGTAAGTTGTTAGATAGAATTCTTAAAAGGTAAATTTGTTTTATTTTCTTTAATTTGAAAATCATCATTTAAAAAAAAATGATGATTTAGAATTCTAATATTTTGTTGAATCAATTATTATATAGGCTTTTCAATATAGTATTCCTTGACCGGATATATATAGAATATGTAAATATATTTTATTTTCTATTTTTTAAAATACACAAATTTCCAAACATATATAATAAATTTATGGCTTTGAACGGATATATAGATTTAGGACTTTGACCGGATATATAGTGATTTTGTGGAATTAATTTCGAATTTGAAAACATGTGATGGGCGGGAGAATCCAAAAAAAATTAAAAAATATTTCCATTATGCTATTTTTGCATTTTTTTTCTTACCCCCCTATATATAATTTCTGAACGTGCTGAGCATAAGTGGCAGACTCACATGCTTCGAGATCGTAGGTGTCAAAATTCCATGCTTCATTATTTGGCTTGGATAGATTTTAATTTAATTTCAACCCAAAAATAATTAGGTCCGGATTACCATAAACATGTTGATTTATTTGTGATCATTTTAGATGTATTAATTGTATTTTAATATTATTTCCAATTATAACTATTCAATTGTAAATGTATTTTAGAAGTTGATAACTTTTGTATTTCTTATCGGTTCTACATATATAATATAGCAAATTAATCATCTTTTGAGGAGTTTCGATTTGTCATCCATATTGTATATATAAAATAAATAAATTATATTTATCTTTATAATAATGATAAATTATTTATTAAAATTAATTAAAAAATAAAATTATTTCTCAAGTAATATATTTATGTTTAATGTAGTTATATGTTATAAGTTAGAAAAATTATTATAATATAACACAGGTAAGTAGCACAAGTAACAAGTGACATGCTAAATTATATAATAATATATATTTTCTATAAAATGTATTTAAATTTTGAACCACTTTTTCTCATTAATTTTAAATTTTAAGAAATAAATTGAAAATAGCACCCGTGTAATACACGGGTGTTGTAATAGATTACATTGATTTTTTTTTCTTATTACTATTATATAATAATAGATTACATTGGTTTTAGATAGAACTCTAGACTGTACATCCAATTTATTTAATTAGAAACAATGATAATAAAGATAGAATTGGAAATGGCTAGACAAAGAGAACTGGGAGGGTTGGGTTTAAAAAATTTAGAGGCTTCTAATGATGTGATGAAGCAATTGTTTAGAATTATTTCAAAGCCAGATTCTTTGGTGGGGGAATTCTGAGAGCCAAATATTTTAGGGATAAAAAAATGGTGGGATTTGAAGGTTAAAGGAAATCATTCTTGGCTATGGAAGAGCTGGATTAAGACTGCAAATTTGCTGAAACTGTGATTGAGGGTGAGAATTGTAAATGGTAGGGATAATTTGGGAAGCTCCATGGATCCCCTCAAATCCTCAATTTTTGTTGTCCAGGGTGTATGAATCAAAGGGGATTTGGTGTGGGTTTCTCAACTTATCTTAGCTGACATAGGAGTTTGGAATAGGGCTTTGATTAGAACACTTTTGACATCACAGAGGCTGAAGTAATTATGAGCATTCCCTTGAATTGGTTATCCCACTCAGACACTGTGATTTGGCATTTGAGAAGACACTATAGTGTGAAATTTGCCTATACATTGTTAACCAATGACAATAACAAGGAGAACAATATTGCTAAATGTTGCTTCAGGGGAATTATAGAGAAGATAAAGTGGACCAGAGTTTGGGATTTGAAAGTAAAAAACAAGCTCAAATTTTTTATGTGGAGAATGCTTAAATGAGCCTTACCTACTTCTGTTAATTTGGGGAAGAGAAGAGTGGAAATGGATGTTACTTGTATCATGTGTGGTGCAGATGTTGAAACTATTCAGTGAACATCATTTTTTAGAGTTGTTTAACAGTACTGAGAAAGCAATTCCTCAAGAAGCCAGCAATAACATAATTACTCTACAGATTCACAGAAAAGTAATAAATAATACGTATTTAGAGAATAATTATTTTGAGAATGATGAGAGCTCAATCACACAAATCCTATGTATTAGCTACCAGCAACTGATAACAAGCAACATACGTTACAAGTCAAGTCTGACAATGCAGCTAGTCTATTGTTGGTTAAAAAAACCATTTCCAAACTCCCTGGCTTCAAGGCTTCAAGCCTTTACCGAGGGTAAAACGGTAAACGAAAGGCTGAATTCAAATATAACATAATAGATCTTCACAACACTACGAACATTCATATTTATATAAACCTGATCATGATGAACAGAAACGGTAAACGTAGGGAGAGACATGGACAACTACAACTAAACCTTAAAGTTGACAACTTGGTCAGTCAATCAGCATATCATCCGAAGTAGCACTCAGCGTATCATCCGAAGTAGCAGGGAGTGGTTTGAACCTCCACTCGTGAACGACTGGATAGTCACCAATGGGGCAATAGACCGCGGCTTGAACAGTTTCCACAGGGCCAACATCCTTCACGGTCAAAGTCAAGAACATCACCAAGATCCTGGTTAAGACAGCCCTCTCGATTTTCACAAGCTTATAATGGTTACCCTGCTGCATCCATCCAGTTGTAATTTGGATTTTTAGTCTTAATAGACAATGAAACAACCAAGCTTTGAACATTAAAAAAAAAAAAGAAATTAAGCAAGTCGACATAAGCAACATCGATAAATAAGGCTCGAATGATGTTCGTGATTTGAAATGATAACATTGCATAGAAAAATATATTAAGGACAGATGCGCCTAGTTACACAGACGCACAGTCTCTTCAATGATTTTCTGAATTGCACACTCAGCTGCTTCGCCAATGTTAGCATAGCAGCGTTGATCAATATCGCGTTTACTCTGGCGCAGCTCTTCCAATTGAAGTGGTATGAATGGCGTGTCAAGGCTAGTAGGCGGGCAGCAATCCACGTCATAACCCTACAAAAATCAGAAGCAGCTCATCAACCATTTCAATCAAACAATAGATCCCTGCGATAGCTTTGATGATTGTTAATTAACTAATAAAAATACACTAGAATTAACAATCACGAATCCCAAAATCAGAGGTGCGAATCATCAATATCTTTTGGTGAAAATCAAAGAAATGATGTTACAAGCATGGGAGAGTGACAAATGACAATAAAAAACAATACTGCTATAGTTAAAAATCCTTTTAAATCAACTCAAATTCTGCATCAGCCAAGCTAATACACACACATCCATGTACGACATAGCAAACAAAGCATAATCCTGATTTGAGAAAACAAACAACAAGACAAATCAACAAAAAAAAATATAATTAAACAAAATTAACGAGCATAGAGGCCAAATACAGCAAATCAGAGCCCCCAAACACATTAAGGAGAAAAAAAAAGGAGAAAAATAACATGACCAATTAGGCGAGCAAAACCCTAATTATGAANCAACCACCGGGTAGAATCAGTATGGGAAAGAAAAAAAAAAACGAGAAGAAGAAGTTCAGGGATAGATACCCTAGATTCGCGGACTTGTTTGAGGAATCTCTTGACCAGCTCGATGGTATTGGGGCGAATCTCCTCGCCGGGCAGGTAGAAATAGGATTCACTGACGTCATAATCGTTTTCTTCGAAGAAAAACTTGCGCTTGTAGCGTACAAACAATCCCCACCTGTCATCGTCGAGAGTCGGGTTCGTCACCATCGTCATTGTTACCCCGATGCTTTGGCTCTCTCCGTCTCTCCTAATTTACTTTTCTAATGGTGTTTGTCAGAAATGATATGGTGACCATAATCCATGCCACAATATGATGTGGCATGTGATATGATTTTATTAGATTCATTAATTCCAACATGGCATGGTGTTTCCATAAAAATAAAATAATATTGTGAAAGAAATAAATAAAAAATCTTCAACAGAATATTACGTTCTCATACAATCGAAGGCTTCACGCCTCGCGCCAAGAAAAACTTTGCTTTCGCAGCTTTTGTTCAGATCACAAACAACTAGCGGCAGTCTTTACCCACTTCACTTGCCGATGATCTAATTCGCCTATACCAATTACTAGGAAAAGGTATTGCCATAGCTTCCTCCTAAAAGGATTGATTATTTGATCAAAGATGCCCATATATCAGTATACAGTTGATATCATGTGATCATCACCAATTCTAAAAGGTTGATTATCTATATATATATAATTGCTAGCTAAGCAATAAATTTTACCTAATAAATAAAACTTAATAAATTTTATCTATGTGGCAAATCATTAATAAAACCTAATAAATAGAACCTAATAAATTTTATTTATGTGGCATTAATACCCCCAATCTCATTAATAAGAAAATATTTTATTACATTTTTTGGGTTAATTAAGACAAAAACCATTATATTTTATGTTAATTGATTAATAATTATATTTTTTTATTGAATAATATAATAGTTAATATTAAAATTAGTAATTATATTTTATACTAAATAATATATGAAAGTTACATCAAATTATATTTTACACTAAAATCAATATTTTTTTATATGATGAAGATGATGTTTATTAATAAATTAATTTTTTTTATGTCATAGTAAAATTTCTTAGAATCACATAAGCAATTGTTATAATAAATGTAATATTTTTCAGCTAATTAATGGTCATGATCACTCAAAATTATAAAAAGTGTATATTTATTGCATTTTATGCAATCAATATAGTGATTCGTATACAATCAAATCGTGTGTACTATTTATTTTAACCAATATCAAATTTTAAAATATAATACTATTATATAATTTATAATTTTAATATTATATACATAAATATAACTTATAATACTATATGTTTGAAATATAATACAATTATATAACTTATAATTTTTATATTATATACATAAATATAACTTATAATATTTAATTTTATTTACATATGTGCAAATGCACAAGATCGAATACTAGTTTGATCAAAGATGCCCATATATCAATATACAGTTGATATCATGTGATCATCACCAACTGATGTGTCGGTTCATTCAAGAACTACTCTGTCTTATGCTCTATTAGATATCCTATTAACATCATCAGTTACCAACTTAGTATACACAAAGTCTTAAACATGATCTGGATGGTTAGTTTCTAAATTTTGTTGAGGCTAATTGATTATATGTATATTTTTGTTAATTAACAAATAAAATTTAAAAGTTCTAAAAAAGATTGCAAATTGATATGAAGAAATAGAACATCGTCCATATTTCATTAGGGCCAATTTTTATTTTTAAAAAATCAAACCGAATCGAACCGACGAGAAAATTAACCGAACTGTTCCGACTCACATGTAACGGTTACCGAAAATAACTCAGTTCGGTGTCGATGTTGGGGGACTGACAGTNAGCATCTATTACTGTGAGTCAATTCTAGTGGTGTCGACTAGCTGTGTTTATGTGCTAATGCTGTAGAATGTGTTTATCCTACCCCCTGAATTGGATTACCATACTGCCCAATGGAGTTACTTAATGAAGTTTCATAATTTTGGCTTTCAGCACTACCCAGGCCTCCTGAAATAAGGGTCTCTTTATGTCATCTTCCTGTATCAGATATGTTACAATGTAAAAACATGAAAACGGAAATTAAAAAGTGAAAGGAAAACCAGCTACATAGGTGTTAACCAACTTTTTTAGCTCGACATAGTTTACTAATAATGTGTATTGGTGCGACTTGATTTTTTGGCTAATTAGTGTATTAATAACTTTTTGATTTTTTTATAAAAGATCTTGTAAGAATAAAAATGAATTTACTTTGATTTATCATAGTTCTATATTATTATTATCTTTTTTTTCACTCAGCTTACCTAATGTCGATGCAAAAGTTTGTGGCGCACTCCATATCAGGAGATGAAAACGATGAGGATTCTGGTCGGTCATTTGATGAGCAATTTAACACAAGTTTAGCTGGTAAGTCACAATTATATATTGATCAATTTAATAACTACGAACAATTTATATGACTTGATTTTTCATATTTAATCTCAGATGGTTGTGAAGCCAAGGGTGATTATATTGTACAGGTTGCATTCGCATCAATTCCTCGTGAAAATCAGAGTTTTCAAACATTGGATGAAGCTAAAGACTTCTATATTGCTTATTCCAAAGAAGCTGGTTTTAGCGTCAGAGAAAGAAATGACAGGAAAAACCACAAGCAAGAAGTCGTATGGAAAATGTTCGTCTGTTATAAAGAATAGACGAAGAATATGAGATACCAAGACAAAATTAAGCATTGTTGTTCAATGAACTGGAGAACGGGAAAGAGCAGATGTCAGATACAAGTGTTTGGCTAGGATGACTGTAAGCTGAAAAAAAGATGAACAACTTTGGAGAGTTTTGAAATTTAATGAGAAACACAATTATCCTCTTACCAGTCCGAGCAAGGTGCATGCTTTAAGAGTTCATAGGGATGTTTCACCTGCAATAAGGTCCCTTGCTGTCGAGTTTAGAAATGCCAATTTGAGAACATCTGATCTTCGGAGGGTACTAGAAAGTGATGCTAGGGGTCCTGATAAAATAGTTTGTCTAGAAAAAGACTTGTACAACAATGCTTCAAAAATTACAAAATATGGTCACTGGACATGATGCTGAAACGTTAGTTGACCACTTTGAGATGGAGAAGACATGTGAGTCTTTCTATTTTGCTTATGAAACCCACCCATGAGTCTTTTTTTTTTTTCGCCCTACGATGCTATACGGTGCTGAATGTTGGCCTACAAAAAGGCAACATGTCCAACAACTAAGTGTAGCAGAGATGCGTATGTTGCGTTGGTTTTGCGGGCACAAAAGAAGGGATAGAATCCGAAATGAGGATATTCGAGATAGGGTCGGGATGGCTCCAATTGAGGAGAAATTGGTTCAACATCGGCAGAGGTGGTTCGGACATGTCCAATGGAGGCCTCCTGATGCACCGGTGCGTAGGGGAGTTCTTCAGCGGGTCGATGATGTAAAGAGAGGTAGAGGTCGGCCTAAACTCACTTGGGAACAGTCGGTTAAGAGAGACCTTAAATATTGGAATATCTCCAAGGATTTAGCGGTGGATAGGAGCGCTTGGAGGCTAGCAATCAACGTGCCAGAACCGTGACTTTTGCTCAAATCTCTTCCTTTTGTTTTGTTTTGTTTTGTTTTGTTTTGTTTGTTTTGTTTTGAACCCCTTTTTGTGTTTCTCTTACAATTGGTTCTCTTAGGTTTCATCTCTAGCCTACTAAAAGACTATGTTTGTTGTGCTTTTTCTTATTTTTAAAAAATTTATAATTTATTTGTTTGTATTTTATTTTTCATATATAATAAATCAAATAAGTTATTTTTTAATGATTTTTTATTTTAGATTCATACTACATATATAAAAACTATTGATACTTATCCTTCAAAGAAAATTTAAATTTATTTTGTAAAACTAAATTAAATTTTTTTAAATAAAACTATAGAATATCTTATAAAATAATAAAAATTATTTATATTAACATAACATAAAAAAATTATTTTATTAGAAAACATAGATAAATTAAGTATGAACATAAAACTAATATAATAGAAATCTAAAAATTTATGTTTCAATTTAAATGAAGACTACAAAGAGATTGAACATTATAATCATATTGAAACAAAAAAATCTAAATGAATATTAAAATATAAAATAATATTAAATATAATAATATTTAAAAATATTACATTCATACACATTATATTTTAATAATCTATTATTATATAAAAAGAATAACCTTTTTACAAATTTAGAAACTTTTTCCCGCCAAAATCATTAAATATATTCTATATATAGTAATTGTTGGACAAATCTGAATAGGCAAAAAAATTCGCTAATTAATTGTGTAAAGATTTGTTTCTCTTTTTTCTGTTTCTTAGTTTATCGTTTTAAGAATAAATATTTATTTTTTTTTTCCTATTTTTAGTATAAATCTACACGAGCTTATCTCTTCTGTTACAAAATCTCATTGCATACGATCTTAGGTGTTTAAAAAATCTCATCTCTTATCTATACAGATTTGAAAAAATAAAATAAAATAGAAATCAATTCATAATTACTACTAGAAATTCATTATCTTTAAAAAGTAAAAAATAAAATAAAATAGAAACTAATTCATAATTACTACTAGAAATCCATTATCTACTTTAAGAAGCTAATTTTCATCGGTCTAATTACTAATATTTTTACAAATATTCTAAGCTAACCATACAAAAAAGTATAATAATAATTTTGAAATGGTGTGTAATCAATTTTTTTTATATTCTCTTATACAAAATCATTTTACATTGTTTGACCCAGAATCTTTAATTTATAATTATTAAGTATTGTTTATCCTCCTCTTTTATTTATAATTATTTTTTTCTTCCTCTTTTTAAATACGATCAATAGTAGTTTTCACTTCCGCCATTGACTCAAACTCGAGGTCTATTTATAATATTGTTAATTTAATATTGTTCCCGTGCATCGCACGGGGTACACACTAGTTAATTATTATAAAGTTAAATACTTTGTACCTAAAAAACTGTTTGATTACAAAGCTCCCAAAAAAAAAGACGCAAGCCCAACATTTCTTGAATGACATAAATACTCTACAAATCGAGTGCAATTAACATTCAGTGAACATCATTTTTAGAGTTGTTTTACAGTACTGAGAAAGCAATTCCTCAAGAAGCCAGTAATAACATAATTACTCTACAGATTCACAGAAAAGTAACAAATAATACGTATTTAGAGTAATTATTTTGAGAATGATGAGAGCTCAAGGCATGCTTGTTTATGAAATATTTTGCTCAAAATGAAATATTTTGATTAACTAGAGTTAAATTTAAAAGAGGTGGTACGGTTAGTTGTTAGTGGGATTTTAATAATGTATTAAAATAATATTTAAAATAAAATAATTATTATTAATTTGATGTAAAAGTAAGAGATAGATGATTGGAAATGGTTGGTAGTTAAAATTATGTGAGTGGATGAATAGTAAATTAAGTTCCTCTTATTCATTAAAAAATTCTCTCTCTAAAACCTTTTCTCTCTCCGTAAGAAAAAAAGCCCCAAATTGAAATCTCCCGTGCCTTCCCCGGCGGGGCCGCCGGTCTTCTCGACGGTGGCCGGTTCCTGGCTTGCGACCTGTACTTGATTAGCTACCGGATCCCATCTTCATTGAGCGGTTGTGGAGTCGGTCGGCCCCGAGTGGTCTTCAGCGAATTAGGGCTGCCATCTCGAGACGGTTTCGCCGGTTTCCATGGCGGCGAGGCGGAGGAGGGCTGTGGTGTTCTTCGGGGGTGGGTTGCGGCTCCGATTGCTGCGTTGGTGGTCGGGGCGGAGGTCGGTGGCTGCCTACTCCTCGGTTCCTTTTTCCCCTGGTGTTTGGGAAGAAGAGCCGGCCGTTGCCAGGCCTGGCCGTGGTGTGGCTCGGTTTGGGGTGGTGGTTGTGTGGTGTGGGGTGGGCTGTTCGTCTGACCTCCGGCTGAGGGGTTGTGGTCGGCCGCCTAGGCGCGGATCGTGGTTTTGGTGTTTCGATTCTAGTTAGGCCGTGATTGGCAGTTTTTGGTGTTGAAACTCGAGCCGTAGTCCGGCCGGTTGGAGGTTGATCGTGGTGTTGCCGTTGGGTTTTGGCCGGTGTGTTAACCCATTCGTGAGAAGGGCTCTTCTTTGTTTTTTGTGCTTTTTGGGTTTGTGTTTTGTGTTGTGATTGTGTTTGTTTGTGTTTTCTTTTTCCTTTGTTAGTGTAATTATCCCGTATGGGATCTAGATTCTCCTTTTGGGAGTTAGGTATTTTCTTGTTGAGAGTTAGACTTTATTATCCCATGTGGGATCTAGATTCTCCTGTTGGGAGTTTTTTATTATCGTGGGTGCGTTGTGGTATTTAAGCTCCTCCAGGATGTCCTCTCTCTAGATTCGGCTTTTGGCCGTACTCTAGTTGTAATTATGTGTGTGAGTTATAAAATTTCCTATCGTTTCGAAAAAAAAAAAAGAATAGTAAATTAAAGTTGATGTGATATGTAAAAATGATTGATTTATATAATTTAATTATATAAATAATATTAATGATAGTGGAGTTGATTTAAAATTGAATTAGATTTTGTGAGCAAAATATTTTATAAACAAGCATGCCCTGAAATCACTCATATCCTATGTATTAGCTACCAGCAACTGATAACAAGCCACATACGTCACAAGTCACGTCTGACAATGCAGCTAGTCTATTGTTGGTTGAAAACCATTTCCAAATTCCCTGGCTTCAAGACTTCAAGCCTTTAACGAAGGTAAAACGGTAAAAGAAAGGCTTAATTCAAGGATAACAAAATACATCTTCACAGGGCTACAAACATTCATATTTATATAAACCTGATCATGATGAACGGAAAACGTAAAAGTAGGGAGACATGGACAACTACAACTAAACCTTAAAGTTGACAACTTGGTCAGTCAATCAGCATATCATCCGAAGTAGCACTCAGAGTATCATCCGAAGTAGCACTCAGCATATCATCTGATGTAGCACGGAGTGGTTTGAACCTCCACTCGTGAACGACTGGATCTTTACCAATTGGGCAATAGACCGCGGCTTGAACAGTTTGCACAGGTCCAACATCCTTCACGGTCAAAGTCAAGAACATCACCAAGATCCTGGTAAAGACAGCCCTCTCGATTTTCACAAGCTTATAATGGTCACCCTGCTGCATCCATCAAGTTGTAATTTGGATTGTTAGTCTAAATAATAGACAATGGAGCAACCAAGCTTTGAACATTAAAAAAAAAAAGGAGCAATGTTGGTAAATAAGGCTAGAATGATGTTCATGATTTGAAATGATAACATTACATAGAAAAATATATAATGACAGATGAGCATAGTTACACAGACGTACAGTCTCTTCAATGATTTTCTGAATTGCACACTCAGCAGCTTTGACAATTATAGCATAGCAGCGTTGATCAATATCACGTTTACTCTGGCGCAGCTCTTCCAATTGAAGTGGTATGAATGGAGATTCAAGCCTAAGAGGCGGGTAGCAATCCACGTCATAACCCTACAAAAATCAGAAGATGCTCATCAACCATTTCAATCAAACAATAGAGCCCTGCGATATTTTTTATGATTGTTAACAACTAAAAATACACAGAATTAACAATCAATCGCAAAACCAGGCAAACCAGAGGTGCTAATCATAAATATGTCTTTTGGTGAAAATCAAAGAAATGATATTACAAGCAGGGGAGAGTGATAAATCATAATCAAAAGCAAAATACTGCTATGGTTAAAAATCCTTTTAAATCAACTCTCGAATTCTGCATCAGCTAAGCTAATACACACACATCCATGTACAACATAGCAAACAAAGCATAATCCTGATTTGAGAAAACAAACAACAAAACAAAACAAGACAAACCAATATAAAAAAAAAATATAATTAAACAAAATGAACAAGTATAGAGACCAAATACAGCAAATCAGAGCCCCCAAACACATTAAGGAGAAAAAAAAAGGAGAAAAATAACAGGACCAATTAGGCGAGCAAAACCCTAATTATGAACAATCGGATTTCAACAAAAAAAACGACCACCGGGTAGGGAAAAAAAACGAGATGAAGAATTTTAGGGATAGATACCCTGGATTCGCGGACTTGTTTGAGGAATCTCTTGACCAGCTCGATGGTATTGGGGCGGCGAATCTCCTGGCCGTATGGGTAGAAAAAGAATTCACTGACATCGTAATCGTTCTCTTCGAAGAAAAACTTGTGCTTGTAGAATACAAACAATCCCCACCTGTCATCGTCGAGAGTCGGGTCCGTCACCATCGTCATTGTTACCCCGATACTTTGTCTCTCTCCGTCTCTCCTAATTCACTTCTCTAATGTTGTTTGCGATGTGGAGTCTAATGAATCCCCTATTTATAATTTCCTAATTATCTTTTTTTTTTCTTTCCTTTTTTTTTTTACGAAACGATGGAGAATATTATAAATGAAAACGTACAAATGTGCAAAGGTACAACCCATAGTTAAATGACGGTACAATCCATAGTTAAATGAAATCAACCAAAAACTAAATAAAATGGGAGGACAAGTCTGATGATCGCCTAGAATCTGGACCCTAGCGACGCTAGAAATCAAAAGCGAACTCACTAAACAACTATTCTTTCCTCACATTTATATTTTTTTTTATATATATTACTATATATTACATTTTTTTTCTTATTTAATTTATACATCTATTACTACAAATGTGCTTCTTCTTATTTTTAAAAAAATTATAATTTATTTGTTTGTATTTTATTCTTCATATATAATATATTAAATAAGTTATTTTTTTAATGATTTTTGGTTTTAGATTCATATTATACATATAAAAAATATTGATACTTATCCTTCAAAAAAATTTAAATTTATTTTGTAAAACTAAATTAAATTTTTTTAAGTAAAAGTGTAGAATATCTTATAAAATAATATAAATTATTTAGATTAACATAACATAAAAAAAAATTATGTTATCTAGAAAACATATATAAACTAAGTATGAACATAAAACTAATACGATAGAAATCTAAAAATTTATGTTTCAATTTAAATGAAGACTACAAAGAAATTGAACATTATAATCATATTGAAACAAAAAAATCTAAATGAATATTATAATTAAAATAATAAAATAATATTAAATTTCATAAAATTTAAAAATATTACATTCATACACATTATAATTTAATAGTTATATATTACATTCATACACATTCCCGATTCGACCAGTTGAACTGGGAATTGGACAGTGCACCGATCCAATTTGGGATGTAGAACCGCTGGGGCCGGAAGCCGGCTAAAAACCGGTAAAACAGTCAAACTGGTAGCGGCTCAGGCGGCCCAGCAGTCACCTTGAAGACTTTGCTCGTAGGTTGTTGAGGATCATCTATATAGCTCAATGTTTTTGTTATTGTTTCCAATATGGGTCGTTCACAATAAAGACTTGCTGAATTATTGGGCTCCTTATTGAGCCCACTCCAGTCACTATCCATAGGAGAAAAGAATGACCCAATAAGATATTTCGAGTATAAAAACCAACTGGATTGTCATTTCCTTCCCTTGACACAACTGGGCTGCAGAACTTGTGCTTGTCTATTTACTTCGGTTGTGTATGATTTTGCACGCCCATTGATAAACAACGACTAATTAATCAATTTAAGCAAATCTTAGTTACGTGAGGAAAAATAAAACAATGCTATAAGCCTACACTTGAATCATGCTAGCTAAAATAATTAGAATATACATGATTCTTTATTTATTTATTTTTGTTTATATAGAAAAATGTCATTATACACTATAAAATTAATAATAAAAATATATACAATTATATATTATACATATAAAATAAATAAAAATTATATATCAATTAAATCAGTTCGACCTATTTGACCACTGGTTCGACCAGTGAACCATTGAACCGGTAGCTTCACCGGTTCGATGACCGATTCGTTTTTTAGAACATTGTAAAAACCTGTTTAATTACAAAGCTCCCCAAAAAAAAAATACAGAAAAAACAAAGACGCAAGCCCAACATGGCGAATAGGGCCCGCGAGCACCTCATCACTCTCGCAAACGACCCAAGACCGCATGGTTAGGGTTAGATGTTGCCAAACCCCCATTTCGGGTTGGGGTTTGGAGGGTCCTGAACTGGCTCAAACTTATGCACGGGCTGGTTCACTGAACCAGCGGTTCCAGGCTTGTTAAGTAAATCGTCGGTTCCAGGCCCACACGGTTCAATATAAAAAAATAAAATAGATAAAATAAAAATGTTGTAGCACCCAGAAGCAGCTCGGTCTTAGAGAATAGCACGACTAAGGCCGGGCTAGAAAGACTCTCGCGTACAGAGAAATATGCTTGGCTAAGTAGCTAGAACAGAGGCTTAAGGTGCCGAGCTAACACTGCAGACATGACATGGAGATATGGGCCTCTAGGAGCCCAACAAAGTAATCGATCTCGAGATATTGAGGTCGGGTGGTCTGAGGGCAGGTTAGACCTACGGGCGAGGTTGGTTTAGACTTCAGGACAAGGTCAGTTACGTCCTCGAAAAGGCCACGCAGACAGGTCAGGAGATCGGATTCATGATCTAAGGATCCATCAAACCTGGAATTTTCAGCTTCGGAATGGATTCTTGTGCCCGATCAGTCAAATAAAACGGTAAAAGGGGGAAGAATCCAAGTGGAAGGAAATAATCACTCGTTCAAGGACTCCTACCAAAATAGAAGTGTGGTAAGTTAGGAAAGCAGAATTAAGAAGAAAAAAAAAANAGGACCAATTAGATGAGCAAAAGCCTAATTATGAACAATTGGATTTCAACAAAAAAAGGGGTAAAATCAGTACGGGGAAAAAGAACGAGAAGAAGGATTTTAGGGATAGATACCCTAGATTCGCGGACTTGTTTGAGGAACCTCTTGACCTGCTCAATGGTGTTGGGTGAATCTGCTCGTCGGGATCATAGAAATAGGATTAACTGACTTCATAATCGTTCTCTTCAAAGAAAAACTTGTGCTTGTAGCGTACAAACAATCCCCATCCGTCATCGCCGAGATTCGGGTCCCGTCACCATCGCCATTGTTACCCCGATGATTTTGGCGCTCTGCATCTTTCACTGTTATTTACGTAACTGTATCTACAGAATCCAACTCAAATCCATACATGTCGAGTGAATATCGTCTCTATATATAATTTTCGAATGCGCTGAGCTTTAAGTGGCAGGCTCATGTGTTTCGTAAGCATATTTGGCATAAATTGGTGTTTCGTATGTTCAGGTTTGGTTTTGACTATTAGACTTGAGAATTACCATAAACTATTTTAAGTTTCCTTTTTTCTTAAGTTACCATATAATAATCTGACCTTTTTTATTTACTTCATAGATTAATTATTACAAATATGAATTCTTTTTATTTTTAAAACTTTATAAATTTTGATTTGTATTTTATTTTTTATATACGATCTACTAATATAATTATATCTTAACGATCTTCGATTTTGACATCCATATTGTATATATAAAATAAAAAATAATTTCATCAAATTCATAAATAAAATCAATTTTATTATGAACTCAATTTAAAAAACATCTTATAACAATGTAAATTGTTTTATAAAAATAATAAAAATTTGATTCATTAATACACCATAAAATAATCATTTTATTTTTTGTCATAAAATTTGGATAAAATTACATAAAATAAAATTTAAAAAATATTATAAAATATTATTTCTCAATTTAAATAGATTATATAAAAAAATGAATGTTATTATGTTATTTAAAATACTAATATAAAATAATATAATAATTAAATATAATAAAATAATTTTGTATTTCATAAAGTTTGAAAATAATACATTAAAATTGTAAATTATTATTTCTATGAATTTAAAATACTTGAAAAATTAATGAACTTGAGACACTGACTCTATAAATATAAATATAATCACAATACAATAAATTTTGTATTTTTTTGATACAACTGAAGAAGGTGTTTTTGATACAAATAAATCATCACACCGACCTAAATCGGCCAAGATTCGTCGTTCCTCGACCAACTTACCTGATTTTTTTATGTTTTTTTGATAATTTTGATTCATGTGTCATATTGTATGTATTTTGTGAATCGTTTGCCCTAAAATAAATTTTGAGAAGCTATTATTTTGTTTTCTACAAATCTAGTTCACATCTCATGTTCATACCTTTGAATTAGGGTTTTCCTTTTTATTTTTTGGTTCATAGGGATCAATTGTTGCCTATCTACCTGAAGCTTGGATAATATGAGTACTTCGTTTAACAATTTATCAACAAAACTTTGATCTGAAAAGCGTAGTAGTACAAATTGAATGTCAAATCCCCGACTGACACTCAAAAGGATACTCGTATATGTAAAGAAACCCATGTTTAAAAACCCAAAAAAAGCTTAATAAGAGCTTTAAATCTTGAAACTCGTGGCGGAAAAAAATTTTCCACAACAAATTTGCATTTGCTTGTTCAAGTAGTAACTAACACTAGAGAAATGAAAGGCTAAATTATAGACTTACGGATCAAATATTAAGAAGCTTAGATCTTTAAATTGAGGATTGGGCAGGCCAAGGTACCTAGTGGATTTTTAAGGGGTTATGCTAAGGAGAATGTTGCAAATTGAGGATTGCACTGAGGGGGGAGTGTTCCTACTGAAGAAGATTGAGGATTTGGTGACGTTGACTTTCTGGCCAGTGATCTTTTTGATAGTTTGACAAGGTTGAGAGTAAGGTGTTGGCTTGGTTAGGATCGGCTTTGGCAAAGAGCAATGTATCATCTGCAAATAACAAATGAGAGAGTTTTGGCCCTGCTTTAGAAAACTGAATGCCTTGCAGATTACCTTTTTTAGTTTCTTGCTGTATAAGGTGGGTAAAAATCTCAGAGACAAGAATGAAGATATAAGGGGACAGAGGATCCTCTTGTCTGATCTCTCTAGAGGGAGTAACAAAGCCACAAGCTTCTCCATTAACATTACAAGAAAAAGATTCATAAGAGATGCAGGAAATAATCTATTTCACAAACTAAAGTCAAGCTTAATCATGATTTGACTCGCACTTTTCAATTCCACTCTGTCAAAAGCGTTTTCCATATCAAGTTTAAGAGCCATGTAGAAGTTGTTACCAGTTCTGTGCCTGTTTAAGAAGTGAATGACCTCATGACCAAGGACCACATTATACAAGATTTGTCCTACCTGATTGGACAAAGGATCACATCATATTTTCATTCGCCCTTTCTATGATTTTGACAATAGCCAACTTGATAGATAAAATAGAAATTG